GGAGTGGTGGCTATCTTGCATTTTGTCTTGTTATTTTTATCACTTATTTGTCGAAATGACACAACAACAACAACAACAACGACAACAACAACAACAGCAACAACAAAACAACAACAACATTAACACCACCACCACCACCCACACCCCAAAGGCTCGAGAACAGGAACTAGATCTAGCAAGCACACAAACTAAGCTGCCGAAACACATAATTTGTACACAAACAACACGTACACATAAACAGACACATCGGTTGTTCCTCCCCAACCCCTTTCCTCTCGGTTCCCATGGGCGACGTGTTGCGCTCCCACAAACCACACACGATGCCCCGGAGAGCAGACAAAACATGAACTATCCCCACTGCCCCTTGCTCCGGGTGCGAAAGAAAACAAGAAGTGATTCATGCAGAATCGTAATAGGAACTCAAAATTTAAACAAACCGGATTATCGGTGAACCCGTTTCGGAAACGACTCGGTAAATCACGGTTCCCGGTTAAATCATTTGAGCGAACAGTTTGTATCGTTATCGCGAAAACAAAATCAACAAAAGGTTTGGAGTCAAGAACGATATGCATCACAGTTGATTGACAATTTCATAAAAAAAATAAACAGGTTTTTAAGGTTCATTTTAAAACCCCCCCTCCCCCATGGCCATTCTGTGAAACTAGTGTTACATATCTTTAGTCAGATGGGTAAGTCATAATATCAATCAGCGCCTGAACTTATGAGAAACTGAACATCCAACCGGTTAACCAGATCGCCTTCTTCCCAGCCCTCTTACTACTGTCTCTGTTGCACGCTCTCCAGCTGGCTGCTATTTGTTTGTCGTTCGTGATTTTACCCACAGAAGAGCTCCACAATAAAGAAGTAAAGCATTATGTAAAGTTTCCTGAGAAAATATAGTGTATGAAAGATGATATTGCCGATGCACAAACGTAAATTATTTGTCTTCCGCTTGATTTGTGAAGCGCATGAACTTGAATTACACGGCTGATAAACATCCTCAGACCTGGTGGAGATAGAGGGTTAAGTGGCGTGAGACGTCTGGGAGGGGCGTCTGGCGGAAACAGAAACCTTACAGGGACCATTCGTTTACACTGACACACACATACTCACACACCCGTACACACACACACACACATACACACACATATTCACACACATACACACGCACACACACACACACACAC